CTCTGGGGGCCGGGACAGGCTGGGGATTGACACACAGCCTGGACCACAGGAGCTGCTCTGGGGGCCGGGACAGGCTGGGGATTGACACACAGCCTAGGTAGACAGGGTTTGCCCAGACCCCAAGAGGCTCGAGAAGCTGCTAAGGCTGCCCGGCCAGGCCCCCCATCATTGTTCAGCTCCCAAAATAAACCACTCCACAGTCACTTCTGAATTCTGTTTTATATCAAGCTATAAAAACCTGCACCCTGTTTAACATACATACAAAAGCAGTACTATAAAAAATAATTATTATGTTTACAATATCAAACACACGAACTCCTACAAATGTACAAAGACCTTGGACATCATCTATACGGGCCAGTTTCTGGCCACAGCTTTGTAAGCCAGTACCTGGGGAAAGGGGACGGAGCCAAGAGAGCCCGCCGGAAACCCAGCCTCAGCCCTGCAGAGGCATCAGCAGGGCTGAGTCAAGCCTGAGTCTGAAGGGCCCCCTGTCGGGCTGAGAAGGAACTTTCAGGCCCAGGGAGGAGCAGGGCCTTAGGGGTAGCACAGGCCGAGCAGGAAAATGAGCTCACATTTTCCTGGGGTACAGCCAGGTGCTCTGCAGGGCAGGGGATGAACGGAGGCTCTGGTGGGCAGAGGAACAGCCTCCCAAAGATGTCCATGTGACAGTCCCCAGAACCCGTGACCATGTTAGGTTACACAGCCAGTGGGAATTAAAGTTGCAGATGGAACTAAGGTGGCTAATCAGCTAACCTTAAAATAGAAAGATGACCTGGGTTCTCTGGGTAGGCGCAATGCGATCACAAGCGTCCTTAAAAGCGGCAGAGCAGGCCAGGTGCAGTGGCTCCTGCCTATGATCCCAGCACTTTAGGAGGCTAAGGCTACAGGATGGCTTGAGCCCAGGAGTTCCAGACAATCCTAGGCAACGGAATAAGATCCTGTATCCACAGAAAGTATGTAGCTGGGCGTGGGGGATTGTCTCAGGGGATTGAGACAAGAGGATCACTTGAACCCAGAGGTCCAGGCTACAGTGAGCCTTGATGCCATGACCAGGCCACTGCACTCCAGCCTGGGCAACACAGCAAGACCCTGTCTCAAAAAAAAAAAAAAAAAAGTGGTAGAGGGAGGCAGGAGAGGGGAGGCCTCAATGAGGTGATGGGAAAAAGATTCAACTACCTACAGCTGGCTCTGAAGATGAAGGAGCCTGAAGTCAAGAAGTATGGATAGCCTCGAAAAATGAAAAGGCCAGAAATCAATTCTCCCCTAGAGCCTCCAGGAGCGCAGGCCTGCCGACACCCAGATTTTAGACCCGGGTCAGCCTTCTGACCCGCAGAACTGGAAGACCAAGTTTTGATCCACAAAGTTTGTGGAAACCTGTCACGGCAATAGGAAATAAATACAGAGGCCAAAGGGTCAGAGGTGAGAGGTCAAGCTTGCCCTGCCCCTGCCCAGACCTCAGCCAGACTTCTGGGTAGCAGGGCCGACAGAGACACCCCCAGGGCCTGTCCTTGCCTCTGGGAAGCGGGAGCCTGAGATGACCTAGGAGGTCCTGGGCCCTTCTGTAGTGGACACCAAGGTCTTGGGGGACCACCCTCTGGTTGAGGCCTTGGGGGATGAAGAGGGAGGGCTCAGGGCCCCATTGCAGGGTCAGCCAGTAGGGGCCGTGGGGCCATCTGGACATGACGTCTAATGCTGGCAGTGGCCACAACACAGGACCCCACAGGCCCCTGCCAGATAAGAGTTCATCTTTTCCTTTGTTCTCGTCCAGTTCTGTCTTCCATTCCAGCCTTGCTGAACGCAGCTCACGGCGGCCCTGGGCTGCAGAGGGCAGACGGGTGAGGCTCGGCCCCTGTCTCCAGGGAGCCGGAGAGGGCCCTCGTCCCCACCCGCCAGGAGGACAGTCATGAGGCTGATGGTGGAGGGGCCCTGGACAGAGGTGGCCGGGGAGCCCTGAGCCTGGCACACTCTCCCTCCTGGTTCTTTGCTTGCGTGTACACGATCAGCTATTGTTTACAAAGAGTCCTTGGTGTTACCTGGTTGGCTGCCCGTAACGGGAGCTCCTGCCCCCATCGGACATGTAAACAAACCAAAGTCTGTCCAGTTCCAGCTGACAGGGTCTGCACCTCCGCCAGGGCTAGGCAGAAGCAGCATCAGAGCACAGGAGACCTGGGAGGAGCCGAGAGCCAGTGCTGCTCTTAACAGCTCCCAGTGGGGTGTGCTGGGCACTCACAAGCAGGTCAGGCCACAGAAAAAGCTAACCGACCTTTATAAGGGAAAATAGGGACCTGGAGGGCTCCTGCGCCCCTGTGCTGACATCCAAGATGCTCCGGATGCTCTTGGCCTCACTGTTGGATAGGTTCCCCTTGATGGCCAGGATGGCGCTCAGGTGGCCTTTGCTGGCAAAGAGAGCATCCCGTCAGCCCAGCCTGTCACCCACAGCCCTGTTCACCAGCTCCCTGCACTCCTGGCCAGTGCCACAGGGCCCCACAGCCAACGCCTAGCCCACGAGGGGGCTGCACTTCACTCTGCCTCGCCCATGCACTCCACCTGACGGTTCCAAGAGCAGCCATGCCCCAGCCTGTGTCAGGCCTCTGCACGGGCTGCTCCCCCTGCAATGCTCTTCCCAGGCCCTGAGACGACCACCTCTTCCCACCCCTTAGGTCTCCGCTAAGATGTCCACCCCCAAGAGGCTTTCGTCTCTCTAAAGTCAGCACCTCCTATTATTCAGAACCTTGGTTAAACCCTATTTACAACTTGTAATTGTCTTTTCTTTGCCTGATTATGTCATTATTATTGCTGGCCTTCGACAGAATGTGAGCTACTTAAGGAAGGATTGAGACCTGGCTTCTCTTGTTACTTCATTGCATCCTGGTAACTAGAACAGAGGCTGACACCTAGCTGACTTCCCTATAATTGTTGGTGGCATAGGTAGATGGATGGTGGGTGGATGAGCAGATGGATGAGAGCTAGATGGGTGGAGGGATGGGCACATGGAGTAGATGCATGGGTGGATGGGTGAGTGGTTGAGTGGATGGATAGCTAAATGCGTGGAGGGATGGATAGATGAGTAGATGGGTGGATGGATGCTTATATGGGTAGGTGGATGAATAGATGGATGGATAGATGGGTGGGTCGGTGGGTGGATGGGTGGTTGAGTGGATGGATAGCTAAATGCGTGGAGGGATGGATGGATGAGTAGATGGGTGGATGGGTGCTTATATGGGTAGGTGGATGAATAGATGGATGGATAGATGGGTGGGTCGGTGGGTGGATGGGTGGTTGAGTGGATGGATAGCTAAATGCGTGGAGGGATGGATGGATGAGTAGATGGGTGGATGGGTGCTTATATGGGTAGGTGGATGAATAGATGGATGGATAGATGGGTGGGTGGGTGGGTGGATGGGCAGACAGGTGATGGATGGGTGAGAAGATAGACAGATACCCAGATGGGTGAAGGAACGGGTGGGTGAGTAAATGGGTGCTTGTATGGTGGGTGAATGAATGGATGGGTGGAATGGATCAGACAGGGGCTGGACTTGGCTAAGCTGGGGTCAACCCCGTCAAAAGCCACTCAAACTTACCTAACATGTCAGAGGACCCAGCCAGAAAGAAACAATGTCCCTGGCCCACCAGAGCCTCAGGCAGCCAGGGGCTAAGCCTCCACTCCCCAATATGAGCCCTGGTCCCAGTGCATGGGCCCAGGCCCCAGAGGCCCCCCAGACTGGGTGAACCTGGCCTCTCTGGTCTCAGTCTCCTCTGAGAGGCAGCGTCAGGCAAAGCTAAGAGTGTGGGCCATGGCTGCATGGCCAGACACTAACTAGCCATGTCACCTTGGAGGCATCCTGGGAGCTCTCCGGGCCTCCTCTGTGAAATGGCAATGGAAAAAGGATTGGCCTTGTAGTGCTGTGGTGAAGGCCACAAGAGTGAGGCCCTGGTGAGGTTCACACAGTGACTGGCACGTGGGCAGCTGCCAGGATCTGGGTTTCCAAAGCCAGCCCTGTGACGCCCTGGCTGCAGTGATGTGACAGGGGTCCTGAGGTGCCCCATGCTCTCACCTGAAGTCAGGGTAGCAGGTGGCATAAGTGGCCACCTCAATCTTGATGGCACTGGGGTCCTGCAGGCGAATGATCTCTGCCAGCGTGGGGAGAGCAGGCTGCAGCCAGGTCGCCGGGGAGCCCTGCAGGAGTAGGTGTGGTTGGAGGGACCCAGGGCTCCAGAGGCTCGGGTCAGCAACTCCTTGGGCTTGGAGAGGCACCAATGGCCTATCTCCAACCCTGAAAGGGCTAGGGGAGAAGAGGCAGCCATTTCAGAGGAGCTTGGGAGAGGTGGGCAGGGGCTTACGTGCTGGGTGCAGAAGTGCTGGATGGTGTCAGCATTGGCCAGGATGTGCCCAGCCAGCTGCTGCTGCTGCTCAGCGGTCTTGAGGACGAGGCGCCGCTTGCTGAGCTGGATGATGTACTCCTTCACCAGGTGCAGGTGCACGGCCTCCATGAGCTCCTAGGAGGGTAAGCAGCCAGAGGCGTGTGAGCTGTCTGCTGATGGGGAGCTCACCACCTCCCTTGAAGCCTTGTAGCCAGGACTCCAGGGAGAGGCAGATGCCAGAGCAAAAGACTGCACATGTGCTCATGCATCCACATGTGTGCGTTCACATGTGTGTGTTCACATGTGTGTTCGCATGCTCGTGTGTTCAAATGTGAGTGTTCACATGTGCCCGTGTGTTCAATGTGTGTTCACATGCTCTTGTGTTCACATGTGTTCACATGCTCGTGCATTCACGTGTGTTCATATGCTTGTGCATTCACATGTGCGTGTTCAAAAACACGTGTTCACGTGTGTGAGCACATGTGAGTGAGTGTACACAGACATGCTAGTGTGCGTGTTCGGCCTGCCCCCATTCCCTGAGGCCCAGCCACCAGTCCAGAGCCGCCTCACCTCCCGGAAACAGTCCTGCAGTTCTGAGAACTCAGGCAGCCTGACGTCCACGGTGGTGATGATTTTTTCCAGAGTCTCCATGGGGGCCGCCCAGCGGGTGTGCGTGAACCTCTTGAATAGCGGCTGAGACAGGAGGGGCAGGATGTCTGGTCACGCCCTGGAGAGGAAGGGCTGCCAGCCGCAGACACGCAGACACAGACACACACCAACACCTGTGCCTGGCGGAGCAGGGGGGGTGCTCAAGGACTCCCAGGGAACCCGGGCCAACCTCACATCCCTGCTCACAGACAGGAAGTGGGAGCCGGCTCTGTGCACCCTTCTCCAAGGTCACCCAGCTGCGGCTCAGGAGCCAGGAGAGCCTATCTGCCGGCCCGGAGGCCAAGTCCACTGCCTCTTAAATAAATAAATTCCTTCATAAACAAGACCTTGTGCTTGGCTGGGCCTGGGAGATCAGTGCCAAGGGATCTGGGGTCACTGCTCGGGCTTCCACCACACTCAGGCCACTCATGGCCGCTAGCCCCTAACACCAGGCAGAGAACCTCTCCCCTTCCTTTCAAGAGACCCCCACTTTACACCCTGCTAAAGAATATGCTTGTTTTCACAGCATTTTCTGTGGATTTCTTGGCCCACAACAGATGTGACCCTGGCTGCCGATGACCCTGAGCCTCAGTCGCTGGGAGTCAGGAGTGGGGAAGGGGTAGACAGGAGGGGCTGCGGGGATTGGAGGAAAAATGTCTGCAGGCTTGGGACTGGGCTGGGTCTGAATTGGGGAGGGGCAGTGAAACTTTTCCAGGCCCTCCCAGCCCCAGGTGGCCCCTCTCAGTCCAAGCCCCAGGGCATGATGGACTGAGTTCAGAGCCTGCCAGGGTCCCCAACCGGGCATTACCGCTGCACCAGAGCTGGCTCGCAGTGCCATTCACAGGCCTGGAGCGCGTCGTATCCACATCTTTGCCTCTGCCACTCCTCCCCAGGGGCACTTCCCAGTCCCTCCCTGGGCCCCCCAACACTGGGCTCCTGAGGGCAAGAGGTTCCCACTACCTTCAGGTCCTCACGCAGGTTCTGGAGCAGGGTGTCAAAGCCGTGGCTCTTGAGCTCACCCAGGGGGCCCAGCAGGAGGCTCAGGGTGTCTTGGGGTACCTGCCACTTCTGCTCCATGGACATCCTGGAAGGTGGAGGCAGAGAGGTCACCCCAGCCCTGCTCAGCCTATAGCTCCGTACCCAGGGAGCCAGGCAGCCCCCTCTCTTCACTCTAGAACCCTCAATGGCTCCCCATTCTCTGTGGGATCAAGTCCTCCCATCCATGTTCTCCACGCCCTCAGGACACTCCTCCACCACATCCCCTTGTAACCGAGGGCAAGTTAGTCTCCTCCAGTGATTTGCCCATCTGCCTAATAGACAGATCACTACACCTACTTCACAGGGTTGCTTTAAGGATAAAATAATGGCTGAAACATCTGCCCGTGTGCTTGCCCCAGCCAGCACCTGGGAAATGTTTGCTGCTGGTGCTGCAGGCCCTGGCGTCCTCACACATGTTGCTGGTTTGAATTCCACTTCTTGACCTCAGCAGCTCCTCCTCCCTCCACCTCCCAGCTCCCCTCTCCGGCCTGCCGAGTGACTCCCACTCCCGCAAGCCCCTCCCAACACTCTCACCGGAAGGACAGGCAGTTGTTGATATTGGCAATGACATTGGCCCTGTAATTCCTCAGCTGCTTGCCTCTCTCCAGAAATTCACTAAAGGCACGCTGGTAGCTGGTGAAACCAGAAGGGGCACATTTAGGACCAGCCCAAACGCTGGGACGGCAGCAGCAGCCGCCTCCCCGCCCTCCAGGCCAGCTCCCGGGGTTCACTTTTCTGTCTGGCTGCCCATAGCCCAGGGAGGGGCCACTAGTCCCTGGGCATCATGGAACTGGCTTCACAAGCTAAGGCCAGGGCTCCTGAAGCGGGTACCAGCCCATCTCTGCTGCCCCCAGCCCTTCTCCCAGGCCCTCTCTAGAACTGGCAGACCAGGTACGAGTGAGGGTGTGGTTGGCTGGAGAAGCACTCAGAGGTTGAGAGGGAGAGAGCAGGTAAAATTGGAGCGGTGGAGACTGGGACTGTTGTGTGAAGGGGTGGCGGGCTCTCAGTCCCTCTCGAGGCATCTTCTTGGAAGCTAGAGGCTGCTCTGCTGAGAGCTTTGCTGATGGGGTGGGCGCAGGAGGTTCCCACACTGAATCCTGGTGGAGGTCAGACCACCTGAGGATCTCAGTGCCCTGGCTGAGTGGGAAACAACTCCTGGCTCAGAATGACAGGGACAGGGGTGGAGGGCGGGGAGCCAGCTCAGCTCCCCACCTGAGGCACTAGGGAGGGGCCGTGGCTCTGAGAGAGGTGGCTACAGGGACCCCATCCTGGGCACACACCCACCTCCTCAGGAATGCAGGCAGCTCCACCAGCAGCACCTGCTTTATCTGTGAGCCCAAGTCCAGCGTGATGCTCTCGGCCTTGGCCTGCGCCTGGGAGATGATCTGCGGGGTGGTGTTGGGTGAGCTGAGCAGGGGCTTGCCTGGACAAGGGGGCAGGGGATAGGGAGGAAACAGGCTGGAACAGAGGGGGTGCCCTGAGGTGGGCATGGGTATGCACACAGGACGGAATGTGCATGGCGCTTCCCGTGCACGTGCACGGGCGGTACATGTGCCCTGGGGCGGATCGCAGTACCTGGATGATGTCGATGGCCAGCTCGCTGTGGCAGTGGCCGTCCAGCCTCTGGGGAGGCACATCCTCAGCCCAGTGCTGTGCCTCTAGCTCCAGAGCTCGGTCCATCAGCTCCCTCACATTGGCCTGGGGGAGGAGGGCAGGTCACTGGGGCACTATCCATCACCTCGCTCACCTGGAAGACCCGTCAAGCTCCCTGCCCACGTCCTGCCTGTCTCTGAGCCTCTCCTGCGCCACCTCCCTGCCTCTCCCTGGCCCAGGTGGAGACTCACCGCCTCGTTGGACAGGAATGTGGCCTCCAGCAGCCGGATCTGTCTGGGGGGCAGGAGGCTCCCGAGCCCCACACCCTGCAGCTCACCCGCCAGCTTGGGGCTATTGATGATGTCACTGCAGGCAGGGGAGGCTGGCATGAGGACAGGTATACCCAATCAGCACCACCCCTCAAGCTAGAGCCCAGGCCCTCAGCCTCAGTCTCTGGCAGGCCCAGACTGCCCAGCACACCCTCCCGCATGCCCACCTCTGTTCCCATTTCAGATGATGGGTCCTCCACCTACTTAGTTTGGTTTGGAACAGAAACCCTGAAGTCATCGTGCCTCCTCTGACCCTCTCACCCATCCCCATTAGGTCCTGCTCCAAAAGAGCCCCCAAAATCGGCAGCCTCACGCCACTCTGGCGCCCTGGCTGACTCCCACCAGCTTCCCGCTGGCTCACTGCAACAGCCTCCTCCCAGCCTCTCTGCTCCTTCCCTCACCTCCAACAATTCCTGCTCCACCCAGCAGACAGAGCCTCCTTTAAGATCTGATCTTCTTCCTGCTCCAAGGCTACCTGTCACCCAGATAAAACCCTGCTCCTAGTCACAGCAGCCCTGGAATCCAGCCAACTCCCAGCCCACTGCGCTCCAGCCCTGCAGGTCTTGGGCATCGCGACAGCCCCGGCCACCTCCCAATCCCAGGAGTAGGCCAGAATGGGCAGGAAGGGCTGCCCCAAACTGCTCCCCAGATGCATCTCGGCTCGTTCTCCTGGCGCCTCTGCAGCGCCCCAGAGCTCCCAGGGGACTGCCCAGCCCTGGCACTTCCTAAGAGCTCCCAGGGGACTGCCCAGCCCCAGCACTTCCTAAGAGCTCCCAGGGCACTGCCCAGCCCCGGCACTTCCTAAGGGGCCTTTGTCTGCCTAGAGGCTTACAAATGACCTCTCTGCCCCTCACCCAATCCAGATGCAGCTGTGTCCCTCCATTCCCCACATTTCTGGCACACAGGGTTCAACGATGCCCCCCTGGACACCCTCTCACCAGGGCTCCATGCCCAGCTTGGCTTTAGTTGCCTGTTGCTAACCCCAGGCCAGCAGACCCCGAGGTCACTGGGACAGGAAGACTGGCAGGCATGGGTGCAGGTGCCTGGCATTTCCTGGTGAGCCAGGACGAGCAAGCGGGAACTGGCTCTGGGCTGGGCTATCTCTCCCACGGCCCCTGCCCTGTGCCAGTTCCCCGATGCCCTGCTGACCCCCTCCCACCCTCCCCACTGGACCCTTTCTCTATCCTTGTGCCGAGGCTGACGCTTCAACAGTGACTGAGCCCATAGGACCCCCAAAGGCCCCCGAGACGGCAGACGCTGCCCACACTGTCTACACCTCTGAGCTTCCTTCCTAAAGTTTCACACTAGCATCTGGGGCCAGCAGTGGCCAAGCCCCACAATAACAGCCCCTGGACTCCCCCGCCCTGGGCCTTTCCACATTGCAGTAAGCCTCTCCCTATGCAGACCAGGTGAATGATGGGCATGCCCAGGGATCCATGGAGTCAGGGGATGCCTGAGGCTGTGCTCAGCAGGGGTACCAGCTGCACAGCCAGCCTCCCACCTGAGGGGCTCCAGCTCTGCCGTGGGCTCAGAGGGTAACCCTACACAATGGGGGTCTAACAAGACACATGGCCCTTGAACTCTGCTGCCTGGGGGTGCCCGCATAGCCTGCCCAATAAATCCAAACATTCTGACAAGCTCTGCTCAGCTCCAGAGTGCCCTGGAAGAGGACATGCTCAGGAGCACCGACCCTCCTCCCACCTTCTTCCCCGCGTGCCCTATCACCCCTCCTCCTGCCTCCTGGCCTGATTCCCCGGCTCAGAGGACCGCTGGCTTTCACCTCCTCCAGGCTGGCTTCCCTGACTTCTCCAGGCCTGCTTTGGGCCCATGCTCTGCACGGGGCCTGGCCTCTGCTGCCACAGCCCTTCCGGCTCTGGATGGTTATTGATTGCTTTGCCCCCTCCTCAGACTGGGCGCTCGTGAATGAATGAAACCCCTACCATTTTCTGTGCCTCAGTTTCCCCAACAGCAGAATGTGACTGAGGCCCAGGAAATTAAGGATTTTGCCAAAGCTGACCCAGCCCCAGCCTTATCCCTGTGTCCAGGCCCAGTCTCTGCCTGTCCAGGCTCTGCCCCAGGGAGTCCAAATCCCACCCCTGCATTCTCCGACTCAAAACTCTGTAAGCACCAGCCTCACTAAGAGCTGCCAGCGGCACCTCGACACCCCTCCTACAGAGGACACCCTCCCTGCTGGTCCGGGCCCAGCCCCGAGCCCGCTCACTTGGGGTAGAGGTTCTGCACCCAGACCAGCAACATGTAGGTGTCGCGCTCGCACAGCTCGAACTGCGTCACGGCGGCCAGGTGGGCCGCGAAGTGCTGGTGGTAGCTCTCGGCGTAGGCCGCCACGACGCCGAACTCGGCCGGGAACAGCGGCTTCAGTCGCTCCACCACGGCCTCCAGGTCCTCTTTCATGGTGCGGCCCAAGTGCAAAAAGACGTTCTCGGGGACCTCGGGGCCCGCGGCCGGCCGCTGGCCCATGCGCTC